TCTTTTGATTTTACAATGCTGACGAAATGCTTTACGTATTAGAAAATGAGCTTTTAATCTTTTTATGATAAACACTACATCATTGTGTGAAATACAGATTGCATGTAGAATAATATTTAGTGTACAGCAAAAATATAATATGTTTATACGGTAGTGTAGCAGTATGTTGTATCTCAAAACTGTAGATGGCACAACGTTTTACTCTACTTTGGTAGTTCCTTCCACTCTGTTAATCTGTAGACATTTTGAATACTGCAATTTACAGTTACCTACTAATTTAATACTCTGATTAGTTAAGAGGGAGTGAGCTAGTACATATATCTTTGGAACTATGAATTGTATGTCACTCAATCATTATGTACAATTGCTGGCTACTCACAATTGTGATCATATATAACATAACAATAACATAACATATATATTTATGTACATATATTGGATAATGAAATAATTCCAAATTTAATACATAATCCACTCTTTAAACATTTTTAATTTATCAAGATTTAGGAAGTATTAGAGAATATTTATATATCCAGTATGATTTTAATCCGGTGTAAGCACTTAATAAGGCTTTGCAATCGTCATCTTATATTCGTATACATGAACATTTAACTATACTAGAGTACGTTCAGACACATTTGTATACTCTTGCAGTTGACGACATATTGGTATTAAATTTCAATGCTTTATAAAATAATTGGCTTTCATATAAATTTCTCATTACTTGAATACTGGGTTTATGGTAGGCATTTATTATGAAAGCTACAAACGATCGAATTGAATTATACGAATATTTGCTGCTTTTATTGCATTTACTATTTTAATATATTAATTATCATTAAAGTTTGTATCGGTGCAATTTGAAGAATTATGGATATTTATACATATCAATGATATCATATATATTGCGAGGCCCTTAATTCAATTAGAATCTTGTTAATTAGATTGCTACCGTAATACGTGAAAAATTAACTTTGGCATTAAATAGAAGCGCGACCGTACTAGCAATATTTCCATTCTATCAAGAAGTTAAATATCATAATGTTACAAGCCGGTGTTGTGGCAAGATGACGTAAAGCTTAAATCTACCAATCCGTCCTTGATCAGGCATTAGGGCACTAAATCCAATTGAGTAACTCTTGGATGCGATTATCTTTATTCTTAAAGGTTTCATAGAAATTTGTACTAATTCGAATATACGTTAGAGATTAAGCTTAAGAATTAAGTTTATTGTACCAATAACTACACTCGCATACCATGTCAGGCGAATGAGATTTCTGATGATATTAATTAATTTAATACTCCGTGCATAGTTATGCCTGTACTCAAGAGTATATTAGTAGCTTTATGAGATCAAGAAGCGAAATTGCTACCATTAACCCACTTAATACTGAAATTTTACGTTTCTTAAACTGTAGTTTCTTTAAACTTAGCCTATTGTACAAATTACCTTCGTCTTGTCAGAGACTATCTAGCTCCAATGAGACTGTTTAAATTATTATACCAAAATTGATTATTATTTTCTGGTTTATATACAAACAGTTCCAGAATGATTTTTTTTATCGGCAACGCAATCATATCTAACCAGTTAAGTTGCAGGATCAGACCTAAATTTACTATTGCTATCTAATCACAATTCGTACTTTTAAAAAGTGAAGCATCACAATAAAAATCTCAAAGTACTCACTTATTTGGCGCAATTTATTAGCAATATGTCTTGAAATCTCAATACAGCATATCTCAGTAGAATTGCTACAATACGTACTGCAATTATCTTTTACAAGTAAACACTAATACAATCTTGTAATCTAAAATACAAGTGAAGCAATTCTCATACAATCATACAGTCTTATTTTTAGCTATATTTGCCACTTTACCATATCCATTTATCGATATTATTATCATCTTGCGTTTATAAGAGTTAGTCAACAATATGACATTTGATTCTTCATGGATAATCCATTATTATGATCGTATGATTTGGGAGGATGTTTCTCATACAATTGATAATTATAGTCATATAATTAAAATTCGTTACTGTTGTGCTACAGCTGATAATTCTGGTATGAAGCCGTTGTAGTAATTGGCATGAGCTACGGTGGATACTTATTAATCATAGACAAAAGTATTGAATCATAATTAAATTATTCCTTATTAGTTATTTTGCCTGTACTTAAGCGAATACTATTCTCACTGTTCGTCACATTTATTTTTAATTGCTGCCGTGATGGAGTATATTAAGGAACGAATATCATTCTTAATTTAAACGGAAAGGTATCGTGTAACATAATAAACTTAAGGTTATTTTATAAATCCTACACTATAACTTAAACAATTTGTCGCAGTGTTGAGAACCACTTCAGATCTACTTTAATTTCCTTGAATAAAATTCCTGATTTATGACTTTAAATCAGAATGTTATCTAGACAATCTGTTAGTAGTTAACGCGAGTAGAACTGAGAAATATATGCATCTATCGAGAATAGGCAATATTAGTACTCGTAAACGCAATATTAGATAACATTAATATTATAGAATCGAGAAACAGAAATGCTTCGAGTCATAACCAGTCTAATAGTGACAATTTTCTGCTACTTTTACTGTTAGGAGGTAATTTCAATATAAAAATACACAAAATAGCCGTAGATACAGAACAACGCAATTTTTCAGCCTATAAAATTCTAGTTCATAAAGTTAGCAGTTGCAATGTAGTCCCAAATAATTAATTGTGTCGTAATTTTAGGCAAGTGACTGAAAGACAGATAATCCTTGGTATTGTTAGATGAACTAAGTTGGTGTAATAAAATGAAAAGTTTCATAAAGAATACTAGCCATTGTTCAAATACTTTGAAGACACTTCATCGCAGCAGCATCTAAATATTATTGCTTTAACGGTGTCTTCAAAGCTGAAAAGAGTATTGACAATAATATTCCTAAGAGGAGTATTGACTACAGTATTGTACTGGCAATTTCTGGAATCTTTTATTTTCTATGATAAATTTTATCAGAATTTTTGCGAATAACAATCGATAGGATTCACTTGTAAATATCGATTATAAATCAACCAATAATAAACGATATCTAACGGTAAAAGGCTTTCGTTATAAAAGGAACAACCGACCAAGTAGGCATTCTATGAAAGATATTATGAAATACATATATAAATAATAAGAGTAAATATTAATAGACAATTTCTAGGAAAAATAATCACTATTTAGACTCTTATCCAAGGTGGATACCTTATTATATTTTTAATATCATTAATAATACTTCAAATTTATTTTAAAATATCTTGAATTATTACTACTATAGGATAGAATTATTTATTTCATAGAAAAAAAGTCTACAGTGAAGTAGGTAGAAAGAGGATGGGTAATCAATCATGGTTATAATCATAGAAATGAATTCGTTTTTATAGATAATGCTAGGTAACAAGATCTACTCGCGAGTTTTAGCTGAATTTCGTTTTAATGTAAAATTCAAATATGCAACCTTGCAACAATCAGTAACCTAACTAAAAATCATTAACTGATTTCTTATTGTTGATATCATATTTTTCTCCCTAAAGTTTCGAATTTTATAATGAAAAAAGGAACATGATATATAATTTACAAGTTAATTAGATGATATTAGCTTCTCTTAAGTTGTTGTTAGTTCACTGTAGCTATGGTGATAATGCTTGTATTGTAATATAAGACTTAGTGAGTCAGATGAATACTGATGTGCTTATTAAATCTTTATAGTAATGATCAGCCTTAAATGTTAAGAATTGTTTCCATTATTGTAAATTTATTAGCTTATTACACAACAAGATCAAATAATCCATCGACAAATACAATTCTTTATACCTATGGTCTTATTTAATAATACTGAAATAGTAATATTTTCCTTATATTGAATTTTTCAGATTTTACTAATTGCTTAAAAGAGATAAAAATGCAATAGATATTTTGCCATTTCAATACACTGTATCATCTGTACGTATCCTGAGTTGCATACTGAAGAGTCTATCTTATTATTTGATATACTGAGCCATTCTTTGATAAATTTTGGCGCTATTAAGTAGGCAATTTCAGTTATTAATATGAATAAAGTACCAATATTGCGCTACCACTAATCTCTAACAATACAGTTTTTAAGTGAATGCAAAAAGTCTTCATTCCTAATAGCGCTTTATAAAGGATCAAAATTTCAATTTATACGTAAAAGATTTTAACGATATTTGGCTAAATACCGTCAAATATTTATATATGTATTTAAATACGTGCAAGAGGTCAGTATTTTCCTTATAGATCTATAAATCTTAATCGCATTTGCTAAATGTTGATACCGTATGATGATTAACAATAATGCCTTTTCTCATAGATTTAATGATAATTTGTAAATTCATGCAGAACTGAAATGAGGTGAACGTATGCTTCTAAAATAGATCCTAAAACTTTTCGCTGTTTTAATTAATGAACGACAATTTCATTACTACCCTATCAAAAATTGATGGTAATGAATCGATTGTCCTTACTTTGTGACAGTATATGTGCCAGGCGGCTGCTGTTAATTATTAACATCGAAAACTGAATAATTTAAATATAATTAACATTTGTAATGCAATAATTACAATAATTGTATCGCGATACTGATAATGTGCAATTATTATTTGTAACTGCCTTTTCAATACATTTTGTTTCTTGAGATCTATACAAACTACTGTATAACTGATGCATATTTTCTTAATATCAGCGCAGCTAAAGGTTAATATGAAAAATGAAATGTTGAATTATGTTGGGAATTCAATGATGTTAACAGTGTAGAGACTTATATAAATTCTTATCAATTCAAGTATTTGTAGGATATTGTTTTAGCGTTCTTTCATGATTTGGTCGTTCATTGCTTAATTAATATCCTTTCAGTTTATAATATTTCATGCAATCATAAATTTATGTACTTTACATTAGGCATTAACTCCATCTTCAACTTAATTTCAGCATAATCCCTCTTATGCCGTCAAGCAGTTTTTTCGTCTAGTTAACGAGAAACCCCCAAAAATAGCTATATTCGGGCCTGTATTATCAGTTGTTACTGAATCTGTCGCATCAGTCTCGAAATATTGGAATCTCGTTGAGGTATGAGCTGCTATTTGACTAAAAGTAAATTCTGGTTGTGATGCATGGTATTAGGTTGGTTTGCATTAAGAATGGTATTGTTACAATTTTGCTGCTAGGATTATGTATAGTTTTAACGGTGTTCAAGTTTAAATTGGATTGCATCCTCACTCAGATAGAATTCAATATTTGTTATACATTATATCCTTGCGCTAACTTTAGAGTTATCTGACACGAAATTATCTTATCCGTTATTTATTACCACAGTATACTTTGCGCTTAATACCTTATTACAAAAGCGAATGTTGGAAAGATACAAGCTTAATTTTCTATCTAATCATTGTAATCGCGAAGAAATTTGTGTTGCAAAAGTTGGATAATGCAAACAGATTAGCTTGGGCTTGCACCTTATTATTTTTGTTAGCACAGTAAAGTTTTATTAATTTTAAACTAAATATATTCGAATTGAAATCTTACAGATATCGCCTACATCAACTTCCATGAAGTTGACGGATAGAAAAGAATATCCTTACTTCTTTCGCACGGCAATCTCTGACATAAGTTATAATCCAGCACGTGTTGCCTTCATAAAGCATTTTAACTGGACCCGAGTTGGAATAATATACGAAATTAAAGATGTCTTTTTGCACGTAGGTATCACAACTCCGTAATTGAAACAAGAAATAGACAAGTTAACTTTAAGACACGAAGTCAAGTTTAGAACTAAAGTCGTTAACAAAAGTTATCTTTATTTCAAGAAAAATCTTCAGTATTAGCGTTAATGCGACTTAGCTTCACTTCTCTACAGTTCATCACGCTAGTACCGGTAAATATTGTTGTGTATTACTATCTAGAGTTAATAATAACAACCGTATTGGATGGTCGTTCGTACTACTCTCAATTAGCATGGAGACTAGAAATTGAATGCATAGTTAAATTTATGGTAAATCTAACTACAGTACTAACTTCTACTCTCTCTTTGTTGTACTGAAAAACGGCGGCTTATATATGTATGCCGTTCATACTTACAATGCAATCTTATTATAAGTCTGTTTAACTGTGGATTTATTAGTGTACGCAGTACAATCCACAATTGACACACAAAATTAACAGATATAGATTAACATATTTGTAGAATATAGAAATAATCAATTACGATTATTATAGTGTAATCTGTGACAATAGCAAATTTGTAACATACTAAATTCAGGTAATATCGAATTAACGCAAACACACAATAGTAACTTCGTTCCTATCATTTTAATAGGCCATTAACGATTTGCAAGAGATTTTCGCTAAAAATGGCATTGTTATTGTATCTAGTGAAAGCTTTACTACACATCCTCGTGATAAAGTTGCTAGAATGAAGGTAAATAGCACTACAACTCAAAAAATTAAGCAGCCGTACTTTGTTAAGCATGGAAAAATTACCTGTCTAATCATTATATGAAACGTACGTCTGTAGCAAATTAATAATACGAACAGGATCCATGACTTAATTGCTGTAAAAACTACTATTTATTGCTATAAATTCTTCATTTCGGTTCTCCAGCTTGTCAAAATTGGAATCTTTCAAGAAAGCAAAATTAACGGCGATATGCATTTGCTAATATCGCTGAGAACAAGTACTCTAGATTTGCCGTACCATAGAGCTATTTCTCATACATGTTAAGTAATACTAGACTTCATTTTTCTTTACTTCAGTTTTATTTTGACAAAACTGGGGTATAGAAAGATGGGCTCTTACTAGTATTTAAAGTTACTAATTAGTTAGCTACAGACACTTGTTTATAGCGAATTGGATTTACGCTTCTTTCTGACCAGTTGTCCCAGAATTACTTTCACGCGAAGAAATTCCGCAATTAGGTTCCTTGCACCTCAATTTTAATTTTTCGAACGACTACAATCTGTCAATTACTGTATAGAATTTACGGTGCCGGTATATATGTAATGTATCGGATTCGAAGTTAATCTTGTTATATAACAGCATTTGAGCTTTATTCAACCACTAGCTATAATACATTTCACATGAGCTATAACTATAAACTCTTTAATCCAAAGAATCTTTATAAAATAATGCTAACCTAATTCAGTTCACTTAATGTTGCAAATAAGATAGGTATCGTATTTATGCAGCTGCACTATTTCTGTAGCACTTGTTCTTAGTCCTTGATATCCAAAATCTGCCGTAAGAAATTTTATTTGTCTGCTAGAGCTTTTTATACTATAATATTACGAAGTATCTTGTTTGGATGGGAAAATTATCAATAAGATCTGTTATTGTAGATTCTTGATACAATTTAAATACTGAATAGTGTTAACATAACAGATTTGTGTACATGTCTATAAATACTTTGCTACATCTTTTTGTGATACTCCAGTCTAGAGACGTACGAATAATTCTCCTATTTGCATACCCTGTAAATGCAATAAGAGTATTTTGTGAGGTAAGTTAGTATTACAAATACAGTATGAGAATAAAGTTTTAAATTTTAGTCAATATTACCTTTAGTAGTATGAACGGATATTAGTAAGCATTAGTTTAAAAAAAATAGGTTGAAAAACTTGTATCGTAACATAGTTGGTTAAGTAGCTCGAGGTTTAAATTCATTTTCATATAAGTAGTAAACTCGGATATGGAAATCTAATAAATGTTTGAAATAATTTGTCCCCATTTGACTTTAAAATGTTACGAATACGTTGTAATAATAGTTCTCAATTATACCACTAGATCTAAAATGTGCATGTTAAATTCTCTTATTATAATTATTATCAACTTTCGATAACGAATAATTTTAAAGCCGTAATACAAAGCATATATTCACCTGTAAAGATTTATATGGTATAAATACAAAGAGTCAGTTCTAATTTCAAGTTAAGTAATGGTTATCCTAGTTGATTACATTGATTAAACTATTAAAATCATACTTGAAATTAGGCTTATCATCAGAAAGTATATGGATCTAAGTATGTTTGGATGTTACCAGGCTTTTTTCTAAACAATTGGTTCATTAACAATCTCAATGACGCTAAAGTGAATTGTACGGCTGAAAATCTACAAGAAGTTATAGAAGGTTACATTGCTTTTAAAAATGAGGTTACTCCGCGATTATCTGAGCCTACGTTATCCGGTTATGTATGTCTGCATCGTTCATTTCACTCATAAGCTAAGCTTAATCTTAAAATTACTAATCATAGCCTAATGAAGTTGTCATCTGTAATGACTAGTACATTTTTTTAAAGGCTAAAAATATATGTCCAGTTGGATCGTAACAAAATAATACTTACGTGTTACCTACCTAATATTCGGTTTTAGACACAAGAAGGATTTAAAACAGCATTCGCTAATTTCTCAAGTGGAAAGCCACTAGTTGGCAGCTACACATATGCTTATGATGCCATATGGGCTTTAGCCCTTGGTCTAAATCGAACAGATATCATCCTTAGGAAGCAATTAAAGAATTTGACGTTATTTGATTACAACGATACTGTTATACCCAAGATTCTTATCAATGAAATGAATAACGTATCATTTATTGGCTTAACAGTAAGTACACGAGTGCTATCGTTAGATTCTAATTAATATCATTCATGATTCTTCTATCAGTACGGTATTTGACGGGTCAATATTCATATCATGAACAAGGTTGTGGTATAAGGAGATAGTATAAAATAAGTATTTTTTACCCTCATTAATCCAGCAATTATACCTCGTAACTTTATATTAAGTAGAATTACTGTTCTAATAATTTTTTTTGTACTGATATAATTGGCACTAGTCTACCTTTTGTCCTGCAGACAAGTTTATGATCAACGTGTATAATCTACCTAAGTATTAGCTGGTTAAGCTCAATTCAGTGCCACTCGTCTAATAATCGATCACTTAAGAATACGTTTTATTTTAGAATAATCCATTGTATAGAGATAGTTCTCAATCATCTGACGATAAATTAGTTAACTTTTTTAATGATAACAACTCAGCAACATACCGGGAAAATCTGATAATCAACGTAGCAATTATAATTGTATACATTCTACAGACATTAGATATAATACTTTTAAGAACATATCTTTACCGCTTACTTCGAAAATTCTCTGTTGATATTAGCGTAAAAGCAAAATTAAATTATATTATTTTAATCACTAAGGTTGTAAATTCACAGCTGTGAATTGAGATTAATTATTACGTTTCAATCTTAGGATCGAATTGTCTTCATTGACGGAAATAGAGTTGGGAGCGTTATCGTCATGCAGTACCAAAGTAAAAAGCGATTTAACCAGAAATTTAATTACGAATTGTTATACATATACGAATCACATATAGAAATAAATATATGTATTTTATAAATACTTTAACTCTTTAATCAGGAATATCGTAAAAGATTGATATTATAGCACTTTAATTATTCATTGTGAACTTAAGCTAAAGTACCTTATCAATACTCAGTGTTTGAACACGATGTAATTTGAGCTCGCTTAATAGAATATTATTTTAAAGATGGTACGCCGCGGAGTTGAGCACTAACCATGCTTTAACCTAAAATAATGCATTTATCATGTCAAATTCTTACTTCTGTAGAAGACTATTCTTATAGAAATATTGCCAAAGGCTAAGATTTCTTGAACATTGTGCCATTGCACTATTAATTTTATGATTTAAGTTATATAATTTTCAGATTCCAAGTGATGCTTAAATACCGCAATATACATGCCAATTTACTGCAATTTACGTTATTTTAAATTAAAATCATGACTATTGCCATTTCCTTTTAGAGAATACCTTTGCAAATTATACAATTCAGACCGGAAATTATAATTACTTCAAAGATAAATTAACTTTAGGTGTTAAAGGAAATACAATAAAATGGCAAGGTACGGTACCTACCAGCAGGCATAAATTTACGCTGCAGTATTTCGAAATATCAATTAAATAAAGTAATTTTTACAGTATACTATCGATATATTTGATTCTCTTTTCGTTAGTTGATCATTTTCTTGGCTTTCTATGTAGGAAGTTTTGCTCCAGTTGATGTAGAACGCATTGAAATTGAAGAAATTTTCATTTCTAGTCCCGTATTTACTTTATTTGCTTGCTTAGCCGGAATTGGGATAGCCTTATGCGCTGCATTTATATTTTTAAACGTTAGCAAGCAACATGACAGGTACCATACAAATAAGGTGTTAATACATTTACTACTACAGTATAAAAATTTGAACTATCATTTTAACGAGCCACACGTCAACTTGATATTAAGGTAGTGCTGAAACCATGATTTTTACCATTGACCACTAATAATGAATTTTATATTTCGCAAATAAATATTTAATAGACTTATCAAAATGTCCAGTCCTAAAATTAATATCGTTATGCTCCTTGGTTCGATTTTATGCTACATATCTGTGCTCTTTTTTGGGTTAGACTCAAAAGCGGTCGGTATTAGGTCAATGCCTATATTTTGTCATAGTGCAGCGTGGACTATATGTTTAGGTTTTACATTGGGTTTTGGAGCCTTATTTTGGAAAACTTGGAGGGTTTACAGCATCTATAGGAATAAAACAAAGCGATCTATCGTAAGTTGGTTTACAATATACCATAATGTTAACTTCATACGTACCAAGTAGCTTCTAACGAATATTAATATTTGTTATATTTATGAGTGAGTCCGATGCGTAATTACAATTAATTTCATATAATAAATGTAGGAAATGCCTCTAGAATTTGAATCTTATATCTTTTTTGGAAGCCAATTGTTTAGTTTTATCAACTTAAAGTTGTAACATTGCAGTTTAACATACCGTACATAATTAGCTTTCATTCCATCATAAAAATTTTTTCCTTCAATTGACCTAAATTTTGCCATTTTAACTGTTAAATCATTAATATTTTACCTGCATGTTCATAGCAAAAGCGCTAAAGTAAAATTTATTTCGTTCATTATGCGGCGATTTATTTCAGCAAATAGATCAATACTATTCATTCATCAGTTTATCAATAATAGATCTCATGCAGACGTTCAACTATTAGCTAAGTATTCTACCGTTTAATAACTGCCTGGCTTCACAGATTTCAATTTATAAAAAAGCTAATTCTATACATTCACACTACACAGATTATCAAAGACAAAAGTTTAATTGGTAAAATTTTCGCCTTAACTATCTTTGATGCTGTCATTATGATACTTTGGCATATTATTGACCCAATCTATACCAAACAAGTTACCCTAAATCCAAAGGTAAATTTTAATAGCTATCGATAATACGGGTATAGGTATAACACTTCTTAGAATATAAGGATATTGTATTGTAATGAAGTTGACTATTTCAATCGTTTTCGTTTGCACAGTTGGAAACCAACGCGGCAGTAATTACTCGTTCTGTTGCTATTATTTGTGTATCAAACTATATGACAATTTGGATGGTAGTAATCTATTGCTGGAAGTTTTTACTGATCGTTTTTGGAGCATTTCTAGCTTGGGAGACACGTCATGTTACAATCCCAGAGCTAAACGATTCTAAATTGATCGGATTATGCATTTATAACGTATTTGTGCTATGCGTCACTGGAGTTTTATTGACTGCAGTTGTGACAGCTGACCCCATTACAAGTTATTGCTTGATTGCCTCATTTATTGTATTTTGTACCTCCGTAACGATAATTGTGATCTTCGTACCTAAGGTGAGCCATTCAAATAAATATCTTACAAAATTTCCTATACTATTTTATAGTTCTTAATGAAACGGTAACAGATTTTGGTTACTCTCAGCTATGCTCACTTGAAATTCAAAATAAGTATAGATGATAATGATATCGCAAGCTATCTTAAAGATACTTGCAAACATTCAAAAATTAGTAAATAGTCGTCAAATAGTTTGATTAGAACCATTCCTATTTATTGTTTATGATTTCATAATTACCGTATGCTATACAATGAACTAGAATGTTCTACCAAATTTTATCTTTGTAAATTATCATACCATGTAGCATTTTAAGAAGTATGATCCAGATACTATACTTACCTTGTATTTACTTATATTGCTAATAGCATTCTGCTTAAGCTAAAGAATGATATTAATCATTTGCGAATTTAATACATAAATATAGTGGCATGCAATAAATTTAGCAAAAAGGATTAATATGACGAATGGAGATGTTGCTGGACCCATAACGGATAGATCACCAGCTAGTAAGTCAAAGTGTAGTTTATCTAAATCGTCCAGTGATTCCGATGATAAAGAATCGAAGAAGAAGGAACAGGTTTTCGATCTTTTTTCATACCCATTTTAGAATTACTTAAAGTATAAATTACTAAATTTCAATTGATGCAGATAAAAAACCAATATGTAACTTATTGATTTCTTAAACTATCCATTACTTTAGTTGTTGATCATTTAAGTTCTAGAAAATTTCTGATAGATATTCAAATCTATGACACCATTGTTTAATCTGCTTTTCCTGTAGAAAGATAAAAATGAACAGAAATCAGTGAAAAAGATCGAAGTCGAACAGCCCTAATTAACTATACCGTTATATGAGATAATGTTTGGATAAGGTTACCATGATGAAGCAATTTTTCATATACGAACCATATTCTCATAATATACTACGTATTTCCACTGTTAGCAGGTAACGAACTCGCCATATACATGAAATTTCATTCATTTCATAAAAAATTAAAATCTTAGGATAAAATCGCGAATTCATGCATTTTCTTTCTCATGTTACATGTATGTGTTGTCAGGTCTAATTTTAAGTGTAGTCAAACTAATCTTTAACAAGTGGTGCTCAACGCTGCCATTTTTAACATTGCAAACAACAGTTCATGATAGTTTGTCTATAGTATTGTTTCAGTGCAAAAATATTTAAGGGTAATAAATAATAAATACATAATTATTGTACTTTTGCGACACTAATGTCATTGCTGCGCAATCAATTGGTATGTTTTCTGAAGATCCTCAAAATATTTTGCGTGATGTTATTCAAATACTTTAAATTTTAATTATTATATACTAAAAGTGTATGATCTATGCAATGAAATAATATCATTAATCCCGAATGTGTAGCCGCTGTTGTAATTAAACTTTCAATTTGAACTAAAACGTAAAAATAAAATTTCATTACCAAATCTCCTATATTCTTAATCGTTATTAACAAAATCAGCTATTACAATATATAGCATTCTCAATGTATAATAGCGACAGATATCTAGCGATTCCTCTGCCCTAAAAATTTTAATGCTTTTGTTAAGATGAGAATTTAAGCTTGTACCTATAGTACCTCCTGAATAAATAGCCGATTGTCACAAAACAGCTTTGCAACAAGATAACGCAATATACGATCAATAAGTCAATTCCTTGAACCACGTATCAAGGAACGATATCTGCACTATCACAAACACTTTTGCTCTATTAGCAGACTACACAAAGACTTAAACGCCTCGTATTTTACGTTGAACACTAAGTTGGAGAATTCTCTTTATTTCACGATATACTGCATTTATATACTACTCCTCAATAGTTCATGAGTCATAGTTAATACAATTAACATTAGAATCATTTACTGAATTAGATATTAATTTTATATATATACAGTATATAACACTGTAACACCGATATAAATAATGAAAGATTAATGCGTGAGAACCTTCAGCCTGTTTGAATAAATTGCAATATCGTGGTGTTACAAGTCTCAATTTGTAGAAACTGTTAACACGGATTGAGAATGTAATTTCGACTGTTTTTCTGTCATTAACGACTAAACGAGATTAATATATGAAGTCACTAAGCGATCTTCCGTATTGAAGAATTTTGTCCGTAGTTCGAACCCTAATCAACTTGTCCTAGATAATGGATTAAGTCTTCAACTTATAAGGAAATCACAAATCTGATTTATTAGCAGAGTGAAGTGCTTAAATAGTTGTTTAGAGGCATGACCGGTTTGACTACTCAAGTCGTCGCGGGGTTACAGTGTAACCAATCAGAAGGTGATAGCTCACCCAAAATGTCCTATGCAGGACTTCTCTAAGCTTTGATCTAGTTGCATTAACTACAGATCCAACATGGGAAAAACCCCAATTATCTTCGGCTTCTACAGCTAATTCCCACCACCCACCCAATTCTTATTGCTTCTCTGACAGAGATACTGCAACCTTTCCAATTTCGTAGGCAGTTAAATAATATAATACGAAACTGTAGTATTACACAATATTCAATAAAGCACTAATTTTATAATAAATAGTGATGTATATGCGTATGGTTAATGTTTGTCACTACGGAATTTTTAATTGTTACTGAATATAATGCGCTAGACGTATGCAAACTGAAAGTAGTGGATCACTATTGTAATAACTGGTAAATTGCTCGTTCAACACTATGTTCGGGAATCTACTGCAAAATTTAGGAATTATTGTCATACTAAAATAATGTAACATTGATATATTCGATCACTGCCCCTACTGCATGCACTTAAATCACATTTAGTTATAGAATTACACAAAACATTTAGATGGCAATCGCCATTCTCTAACTTAGTCAAAATCTACTTAATGATATATAAAACGCTACTCACGGTAATTTAGTACTTTGATACGTGGGTGATAAAATGTTTCAGTCGGGCTGAGCGACGCTACCACATTTATTCATCTGAATACTCTTAAATATTACACTAACTGATCTCAGTTGCTAGTACCGACTAATAATTTCCACGTCGGTGCTATTCATAGAAAAATTTGGGGCATTTCAATTCAATCACTCATGTGATTACAAACGGTCACTTATATTCAATCATACAGTCAGAAATGTAAAAAGATATGATTCGTAATCTTTAGGTAGTACTGAAAAAATTATGAATGACTTTTAAGTAGCATAATTCACGCTGCATGCGAAATTTCTGAGAATTTTGCGTGGCGTTAATGATTTTATTAATTCTAAAGCATCTTCAGATAGAGATGATAAATGATCGTGTTACTAATTGTAATGATAAGCTCTAGATAATAATTTAGCATAATATTATTACCGGTTATTTGTCTTTTTCAACTAATCTCTTTCAATCTTTTAATAATGGTCTCTATTGTAGTGCCTACCTATAATGGGTTATTTGCGACATTTAGGCTATGTAAAAAATTTCCCTTATTATTGACTATACAGCATACAGTTTGATTGGTTGAGTAACGCATATCAATAACTTTTATTCACAGTTATTGCAGAGATTGTTAATATGTTTTAAATATACTATGAATTCATATTCGGAATTTTATTCTAACAACGATATAATTTTAATGTATTTTAAAGGGAAAATAGAAATCGTTCACCTTAATGTCGGCGGTCCGATTATCATGGGAATAATCAGAATGTCTCTTTGTAACGTAACTTAGTATTGTGATTGTAGACTGTTAGCCATGTTTAGTATAATATACTGTAGCGTAACCTCTATATTTATCCTAGGAGATATTTGGTAGCCGTAACTAAAGACTGTAGTGGTATGGACTCTATGCTAGAGTACAGATGGCTATATACAGTAAGATGTTGAGATACTAATAAGGTTATAGGTAAAAATAGAACCTAAATCATATATTAGGATATGGTTAATTCATTGTACTTTGGCTGGTGTAAATAATGTCTACATAAATACTGTAGTCGTATCCATTCAAATTAATGATGGTCTGCAGTAGAATAGTGTTACTAAAAATAATTTAAGTATGTGTAAAATGAGGCAAAAGGTTGCCGTGCAGATTGTAGCTGCGAATGCTACGAAAAGTATAAAAGCATGCAACTTTAGATTATTCTGTTAGTTCGTTCTAGAAGTCTTTAATAGTAGTATTCGGCTAGAGTAGATATGTGCGTAGTTAATCTTTGTATAAGATTCAATAAAGCCCTTATTTTTCTAAAATTTTGAATTTCGTGATCGGTATATATCACACTCTTATTGGGATAACCTGCTTATGAAATTTTTTAGCTATTTTATGTAATGCTTAAGTATTTCTGAAGGTCATTATTTATTGTTTGTCGAAAAGAATCGCGATTTTAAACATCGTTAATTAGTCAATACTCAATGCAATAAGGCTATCGTATTTGATATTTATGTTCATTATACAATACAAATTCCGGGAAATTTTTCTATTATACGCAACTAAAGTAACCTAGAATAATAACGAGAACAGTTATGTATATTGAAAAGGTACTTCATGATTCGTATACGTAGTTCACCGCAAATGCTCAATAAAATTACCAATATATTAGTATTGTTGCTCTTATATGAAAAAAAAATTGGGTGATATAAATATGAAATATTGCTATTTTCTCGTGGTGAACAAAACTTTCACTTGGCACATTTCAGAGATCGGAAAAAGTTTTTAATTGCCAGGTGTATCTGAAGAGATTAAACACTGGATAAAATTCAATCATTAAGCTAGATAGTTTGGTTTTTGTATCGTGATAAGTGTTCTAGCTTTAAAAATATGAATTATTTGGTTGATTATAATAGTAGATTTTACTTAGTGTCTTAGTATATTGTAAACCTGGCTGCTTTATTCGTGTTAGAAGTTAAGATAATCCATAGCATAATTTTTTTGTTAAGAATCAGATATTATGATTTTCTAATTCAAGCGACATATTTAGTTAATAGAATATATGTGTGCTAACTTTGATCATTAATTACGGTAGAAGTTAATGTTACTTTGTAATTTCATGCAGTATGAACCCAAGACATTTAATCTAGGATTAGTATTTTGTCTCAGC